ACAGTTCTCTAGCTGGGGCCAGTTCAGCCCCGTGCTTTCTGTGTTTTTAAGGCTCATGGCTGTCGTGGCTGTACTGGAATAAGCAAAGGCAGGGACTGGATACACATAAGGCTATGCTTGTTTCTTGTGCCCTCATGCAAAACTTGGGTAAATTGAGTTTGTGCAGAAGACCATAAAGGTTTGGGAGGAAAGAATAATCCCATATTTAGGCTACTACTTGGAAGGAATTGCATAAATATTTTCTGATCACTGAGTTGATGGATTGTAGTACTAAAAACAAGGCATTAATACACTGGAAGATAATTCAAACTGGAGATGTAAACAGCAGTAACTCTGCATACAGTATACACACTGAAACATCGTATGTGATGATACAGAGGGCATCCCTAGTGTCAGCATCAGATGCTGAAGTGTTCCACAAAGGAGTAAAGTAGCTGTTCTATTTATCTTCTCTTCATGTAAACATCTCTAATTTTCTGTGCCCCATCTTTTGTAAAAGAACTGTGCTCACCTAGGTGACCCAAAAGCCAAGCTGTTTTTTTCAGGCATCGCTCAGTGGATCTGACTTCAAAAGGCACCAAAGTAGCTCATTCAGGGAAAGACAGATGGGAAAGTGCATGTATTCCTCACTTACCTGAGTTTTGCCAAAGCTTGTCTTGTGTTAAAAAAACCCCCAGATTCTGCAAATTAATCTAAATAATATAGATTTCATGCCTTCTATCATAATGTCAGTCTAGAATTTTATCTGGAAAACACGTGCTGGAAATTTTAATGGAAAGAGTAATGCCAAGGAAGCGCAATGGGAATGAATATACTAAAACCTAGCAATAAAATACTTCAAACCCAGATGTTTATCATGTGACAATTGGAGATGCATTTGTTATCTTTCATCTACCCAGAAGCACTTTGCCTATACTTCATACAAACTCCTGTATACAGTTTTCTTTTGCAGTGCTGGGTAGTTTACCTGGCCTGTGTGTACAAACTGAACAGATTTTAGCCTGTGGTGTAAGGGTAGAAGCAAACCTACTTAGACAGGACAAAGAAGATATGGTTGTCAGCTAAACCATAGGCTGTTAATAGAGAAATGTTTCATGTACCTCCTCACTGCCACTGCACTGTAACTTCATCCCTTTAGGGCACCTAATTCTTAAAAGCTCTCAAAACCACAATTCTTTAGCTTTTCCTTATGCTGAAGTTGTTCAGCTCTTGCTCAGACTTAAATCAGTTGGCAAGCAAGAAACAAAACATAAAACATCCATCTGGATTAGTGTGCTCAACATGATGCAAACTGAGAACGTTTATTCTCTCAGCTACCTGATGTAGTGACAGAGCTGCAACAGGACAGAACCCTGGGGTCCTAATTCTATACCAGGCTGTCCTTGAAAGAGTCAACATAACTTATTAAAACCACAATGAAAATATTTTGTAAAGCAGATGTCATTATGCCATTATAACAAAGGAAGGACAGCCACATCCTGCAGAAACACCTTTAGCTCCTCAAATGGAGACAGCAGGAGGGAAATGCTGCAAAGGGCTCAATCCCCTGGGCTGATTCCATATCTGCTGTCAGATCCTTGGGAGACAGTCTCGGGAGGGGAAATGGAGTTTCATAAAAGTTTAAAAGAGAGAGGCATCAGTGTAACAGTGTGAACCCTCTGACCACCCTGAGAAGCTGTCAGGTTCTCTGGGCTGTGCTCCCTATCCTAAACATGCCAATGACATGTCCTTAGCAGACATTATGCTACTGCTTCTCTCACACATCTGATATTTCTGGAACAGCCATTCTGGGAGAGTTTCTGACACAAAGCTGACTTTTGTAGAAGCGTGACTTACTCCCAGGGGGAGGGCTGGATCCCCTTCCTACCTGTGAGCCCCCTTACATATGGAGCCCAGCACTGCCAGCACGCTCCTGACATGCCTGAGGAGGGCTTGCTGTGCCACAGGGCTGTGGATCAACCTAGTTCCATGCAATACTCCAAGATGCCCTATTCTGCAGATGCAATCCCTCCCCAAATGCTGATGTTAAAAACTGAAGAGTTACAGAGTGATCACAGTGAAGACATAATCCCAAATGTAGCAGTTCTAGTACTTGCCACACAAAACTTAACCCTGTGTGCTTGAACACTCACCTGCATGTCTGGTTCACATCCTGCTCACCAGTTCTTATTACATACATCTACAACACTTTATTTATCACAGACTGTGCCAAGGTATTAAAAAACTGGGAAAAAATATTTCTAATGACTGTTTTTTTAAAAGCAGCATAGGCTGACTTCCAATACTGAAGTCCCAATAGCTACTGCTGCACATCCTACATAAAACCATGACATTGGGTAATTTTCATCACTAAATCATATTTTTTCGGACCTATTCAAACATACATTGCCTCTGGGTGCTCTGTCAGGTGAATGGATCAGAAGGACTTCACATACAGTTTTCTGCTTATTTCAATAAACTTACCAAAGTAATATTTCACAAGTTTAAATAATTATGCTAAATAATCAAATAAATGAGAATGACACAGGTGATATTTGTTTCATCTATGTAGTTGGAAGGAGTTTTCATAGCAACCCCAAGGGTAATGCAGTTATTAAAAGATTAATTAACAATTTTCTTTTTCCCAGAACATATTACAAATCTTTAACAAAACTCACTTAGGGAATCCTGGAATTTTAACATGTTCTACTCTAAAGAGCCTGTCTACTTACTTAACTTTAGAATTACAGAAATAGAATTTAATTGGCAAAATATATTTCAAATTTTTTCACTAAGTTTAAATGTTCATAGACACTGCTACTTTTCATAAAGAATTAACTCCCAAATCATTATGATTTTACATTCATAGACACCTGTAATAAAGAGTTCAAGAATTCTGTGTCCTGGTTGTGTATTTAAAATTCCCAGCTAACAAGCAGGACAGAGACTGCTAGGAATGCTTACAGATGTCTGATTTTACAAGGTCTGGGGTTGTTGTTTTCTTTTTTTTTTTCCTTGCTAAAGTGCTTTAGTCTAATGTTATTTATTGTTTATGGAAGTTGTTTGTCATTTAGGACATGAAGTGACCACTCCCTCAAAAGCAAGAATCAAGTTACAATCCATTATTTCATTTTTTGATTGTTTTTCTTTGTAATAGGTGGGAAAGTGGATCCAGGATAAAAGTCCTGCCCAAGACAAAACTCCAAGCTGAAGACTCCAATTATCTATAAATCACTTGAATTTCCTGCAGAGAAAGAGAAAAAGGAGGAAAGAGCGAGACAGACAGAAAAACAGAGACAGAGGATATGCCAAGTGAAACATTTGATACCTGTCCTAAACCAAAATTTTCTCAAAAGCAACCAGGAGTTACCTGATAGCTCAAACCCAAGCTTAGAAGAAACACATTGCCGTTGGTTTTGGCTTAATATTGAAATGAAATAACTTTCTTTTAATTGGTCCATCCATATAAAATGTGTTACATTTTAGATCTGAGATGATGGAATTATGTATTGATCTATTAAAGGTCACTGTACATTCTTCACAGAGAGAAAGCTATGATTGCTGATGACTGCTGTCCTTTTCAGAGGTTTTTAGAAGCAATTCTCCAGTTTTAGAACAGAGAAATGCAATACATTTATGAGGCAAACTGGCTGTGATACTACTCTCAAGTACTTCCCACGAAACCCTCCTGAAGCACAGTTCACACTGAAAGCAGCAATGAACAAAATTCATGCCAAATACTCTTTGCACAGTATGATTGCTCCCGAGGTGTAGCACTACACAGCATCCAGTAATTACATTCCTTGCTTATTTAACTATTTGAAAAGAATTTATGAGCAAGAAACCATATGCATTTTTTGATTTTCATACTACAGTTTGCATTAAAATGTAATGAAATTTAAAATACTTGACTTTCCTCTGAAACATTCTTCTAGAACAAGGAATTGCTGAAACAAATTAGAAGACAAATTAATTTTGGCACTCACTAAAAAAAAGAGAAAAGATGAAAAGCTTTTAAAGTGATGATATGGAAGAAAAAAATTACACTACATCAGCCAAAATGAGTCTCCTATCAGCATTAAAGCTCCTGAAGTTGTATTTCCAGTAGATAAAAATGTTATCACCTTTTTCCAGTGCTGATGTGCTTATTTTCCTATTAAGTTACTTGGTAATTAGAAACAAAGTCTGACACATTGTAATCTGTTTATACAATAGATCTGAAACCTCTCCAACAGAAATGAAAACATTCTTTAAAGATACTGAAGATGCAAAGATTAAAAACATAAAAACGAATTTTGAAATGCAAAATACACTTACAAACAAATGACTGTTTTTAAAGCCCATTTTAATCAACAAAACCAATTTAGTCTCATAAGACACCACAGAAACCCAGCAGATTTTTCTACATTTCTACAGTGGATTTGTTCTTAACCCTCTCTTTATGAAAATCACTCTTAAAGGTTTGTAGGGAAAACATGCCCTCTCACAATATTGTTCAAGGGTGTATTCAAGAATCACGGAAGTTTGTGGAGACCTGTTCCAGTGCTGTAACAACCTGGTAGTATTAAGAGTCCTCCAGGAAATGTAAGAGTCCCTTGGGCACACAGGGCAATTCAAGAAAGAAAACGTTTTTATTTTCTGATTGAGATACTCAGGTATGTATAGTAATGTCCTCTGAAGTACATCAAAAGCAAGCAAAACACACCCGGGAACTACTGATTTTGCACTGAAAATAAACCCCAACGGCTCTGTAGAAAACAGTACATTTACAGAGAAGTGGCAAAGCCCGTCTCAGCAGATCTAATTTGCTTTCTATTATCCTGTGGTTTTTCAGATGATTACAGGGCTAAAAATCTTTTTCTTTTATTACCGATTCAAGGGAGTATTTTAGCAGTTTTTTTTTTTTTTTAATATCTCTACACCACATTGGGTAGGGCAGAATGAAACTGATTTTAAGCAAAATCCCTTCTTTGGAGAGCAAACCATGAATTTCTCTGCCAGAACAAACGAACACAACTTACCTTGGTGTATTTGATTTCAAGGTTGAGAGTGGGAGAAGGCAGCAGATGCAGAGATGCCATCAGAGCTGCAGGATCTGCCTTCACCTCCCCTGGCATCTCAATTTTACTGGAAGTCATAGTCTTGGGGGGGTTTTATAATACCACCGAGCCCCCCGCTCTGCCCTGATGCTGTGTTGTGTTTTGGGTTGGTCCCCCCCCTCCAAAGCCCAGCGCTGAAGATGTTGCTCTCCTCCTCTGTATATAGGCAGGTGTCAAGCCGGGTCTCTTCTTATTGGACATGGGGGCAGAGGCAGGGGGGCAGGTCCATCCTACCTAGGGCGAGAGCGGCACAGCCCCGCTCACTGCGGCGCAGCCTCCCCGGCCCCCCGGCCCGGCCCGTCCCGACCGGGGGATTCCCGGCACCCGGTGGGAGCACGGAGCTCCCGGGCGCGGCTCGCTGCCCGCCGCCCGAGGAGCGGAACCGGGGAACGGCCGCGGGGAGCGGGGTCACCGGGACCGTCGTGTTCCCCCTCGGCTCCCCGGGGCCGGGCGGGGAGGCGCCGCGGCCGGGAGAGGCCAGTCCCGGCTCCGGCCCCGCCCGGGGCATCCCGCGGGGAGCCCGGGCAGCCCCAGCTCCACACAGGCTGGGGATCCCCGGCCGCGGCGGGGGTAGCGGCGTAGAGGGAGACACCGGGCTGCACTGGGGAAGACCTGTCGGGCCGAGGTGACCGGGGCACGGTGCCCCGCCGGCGGCGCTGCCCGGCAGCGCGGCCCCGGACCGGCGGCTGCGCTCGGGCGCGGAGCCGACGGGGCAGGGCGGGCGACTCCTCGCGGGACCCGGGCCGCTGCGCGGAGACGGCGCAGCCTGAGCTGCAGCGAGTCCGTGCCCGCTCCCCGTCCGGCCACCGCCGCCCGCTGCTGTCCCGGGCTGCCCGCCCTGGCGGCCGGGGGCTCCGCGCCTCACCTGGCGGCCGCGCGCCCGCCCTGCCCCGCTCCCGCCCCCGGGAGCTCCCCGAGAGTCCCCGCCAGCCGTGCGGCCGCTGCTCCCCGGGCCGAGCCTCTTTTCCTGTGGCGGCGGTGCCGCCGGAGCGGCTGCGCCCCCACCCTCGGCGCTGCCCCCCCCCCCCG